CTAGTGAATTCGAAAATTATTAAATTTGATTTTTTCAACGAAAAATTTGAAAAATTTCCGAAGAATTTCACTTTCTTCGCCCTCAGGGCTGGGAAAGACCCCGAGGGCATAGCAAGCAAAATCGTGCTCCAGATGCGGTGGAGGTCAAGAAAAATGAATCTACCGCGATTTGAGGGCAATTCCGGGGAGCGGGAGGTTTTCGTGGCGGGACCCAAAAGGTGGGGAGGTGGAGGCGGAAAACGGGGAAAATTGATGAATTGAAGCGCTCTGTGGTAATATTTCGCTGTGAAAATAGTAGTAGTGTAGTTGAAAAATCATAAATTTAATTTTTTTCAGCAAAAATTTTGGAAAAATTAATTTTTTTGCAAATTTTTTTCCGTCAAAAATCGACAAAAAATCGTTGAAATTGCTATGGATAGGATTGTAAAATACGATTTGAATATTTTTGCAAAATTTGGCGTGAAATAAAATCCGAAATTTACATTTTTTTGTCATTTTTTTCTAATTAAATTTTTTCCAAAAAATCTTAAATTTTGGTGTATAAAACACCATGAAATTGTGATCTACTACGATTTTAGGGCGTGTTCTACATTCTACATCTCAAATCCCCTTCAAATTCAATCAAAATCCCATTGAATTTTTCGATTTTCCACTTGAAATTTCGATCTTTCCCACATTTCCCTTTGTTTTCTCTGGTCTCTCCACTTTGCCCGCTCTTTTCGCAGACAATCCGTTCCAGAATCCGCAGACAATGCGAAGAGGTGGTGGGGTGCTTTTGTGACGAAATGGGATGAAAGTGAGAGTCCGAACGACCTCAAAACTCGCCGCGAACAAGGGGATCCCGCGCACGAATTTCGTCAAAGGAAACTTTTGGGGTCCCTCTCGAGGCGCAATGACGAAACAGCTCTTCCCAATCACGCCCTCAGGGTGCGGATGCGCTCATGCGTGCGCGGGTTTGCGGTGAATCTGGAACGGCGGCGGGGATTTCGCCGGGCGCGGGATTGCACCGTACGGATATTTAGAAAATTATGGGTCCCGTAGCAACTTTGGCATTGTGTTGCAAGCGGCGAAAATTGACAGAAAAGTACTTTGCGTCATATAATGTACATTGACGGTAAAATATTATATAAATTTTTCAAAAAAATCATTTTTTTGGGTCCCACCGCGAGAACTTGGCATAATGTTGCAAAGGGTCAATGAGTAGTGAAAATAAATGAAATATCAATCTAATAGATGCTGAAAGTCTTGGACATTTAAAAAGCGACAATTTTCAAAAAATAAGGCAAAATTTGGGTCCTACCACGAAAACCTTCCATGATGTTTATAATAGCCTAAAGCTAGAGAAATGTAATTTTTAGGTGTCAAATGACTGTTGATTTCTATAAAGCAGTAAAATTTCACATCATGCATAAACAAATTAAAATTTAGGTGCCACCACGAAAACTTGGCATTCCGTTTTTTGTCTCAAATTTGTGAAAATATGTGCAAACAAAGTATGTTAATGCAATATTCAGACTGAAAAAAACATCTTCGTCCCCCTAAACTACTTAAAATTAACATAAAATCCCACGTTTCCCTTCAAAAAATCCCGAAAAAATATATAAATAACCACATGCATCCACTTGTTTCTAATTAAAACCCCCGCAGTCTATAAAACGGTCAGCCTGTCCCACATTTCAGGCTGGACCATTGGCCAAACAATCGGAGGTTTTTTTCCACCGAAATAGTGTGCAGAATGCGGAGAGACGCGCGATATTTGTTTTCTTTGAAGCCGGAAACAAAAAAAAAGTAAATACGACGTTTGTTGTTCGTCTCTCTTCTTCTCATTGCTTATTACTATTGTCATTCGGTTATTTTTAGACCGTAATAAACGCGTGTGGGGGGTTAGAAAACAAGAAGAAAGGGGTGATACAAAAGTAATAATGTTATAGTTGCAATATCAATAGGGGAAATGTGATGAAAGTGTTGGTTGATGGTCGAGGATTGACCCTTGACCTAACGGACTTGGGTCGTATTTTACGGAATTATTTTTGATTTCTACTGAAAATATTTGACGGGACTACTTGATGATATTGTAGATAAAGAGTTGCCCAGAAATCTTTGAGTTGTTAAATGACAAAGCTTGCATAAAATAGACTATGCCGTTCAATGCTAAACAAGCTATAAAATATCAAAGAATTACTGAAATCCATTGGCGCTTCTCTGAGAAATCGACCGATAAATCCAGTCCTCTAGTGTTATTGACGGAAAAAAATAAAAGGCTCAGAAATTTACCTTGTTTCAACAAAACATGAAGAACGACAAGGCAAGAGTAAGTTACACTGTATGCTATGAAATGGCCAAAAATTACAGTAATTTTTATGCCCAGCTCGGAGAAATCGACCATTCAGTGAAAGCATCCGACATTGTACATGGTGTAAAAAATAAAATCTTAAACTGCACTTTGTCTAACATAAGGCTGGAAAACAATTATGTGCAAGCTTGGCATGACACATTCTCCAATATACCGAAAAATTACAGTTATTTACACCCCCATCTCAAAGAAATCAACACTAAATGAAGCCGTACAGGATTGTACATGGTGAATAAAGGAAGACCTTGATAAGCGATTTGTCTAATATACGACTTCAAAATACGATTAGAAATGGGTTTAGCACACCTGGTGCTCTAACATATAAAAAAAGAACAATCATCTAGACGCCCAGCTCGGAGAAGTCGACCAGTCAATGAAAGCCTACAGCATTGTACATGGTGAATAAAAAAAGATCTTAATGTGCGGTTTGTCAAAACCACAACTTTAAAATATGATTGAAAACGAGATGGGAACATAACATGCTGTAACATATCGAAAAATTACGGTTATCTAGACGCCCATCTTGGAGAAATCGACCAGTCAATGAAAGCCTACAGCATTGTACATGGTGAATGTAAAATATCTTAATGTGCGGTTGGTCTAATATACGACTTCAAAATACCATAGAATATAAATTAAGCACATCATTTTCTCTAACATATCAACGAATTACAGTTTTCTAGAACGTAATCTCGGAGAAATCGACCAGTTAAATAAAAAAATTGTACAGAATTGTACATGGTGAATAAAAAATGTCATGAACTGCGCTTTGTCTATTGTAGCCTTGAAAATAAGATTAAATGTTTGTTAAGCATGCCATGTTCTCTAACATATAAAAAGATTGCAGTCATTTAGACGCCCATCTTGGAGAAATCGACCAGTCAATGAGATCCTCCAACATTATCCATGCTGAACTTCCAGCCCTTCAAAAAAACTTTTCAACTGATAAAGAGATCACCCACTCCGTACCCACTGACCCTCAGGGTAAACAACAAACAAAAGCTCAGCAGATCAACTGGTCTGTGAAATTAGCGGCGGTGGCCCCCTCTTCTCTCTGCGCTCTTCCAGCCCGATCGCCTGCGGCGCACGCGCAGACAAGAACAAACAAATCCAATTTCTCCCTACTTTTTGCGACCAATTCAGCTGCTTTTTTCGGATCACCATTCGCCGCCGGGGGCTATTTTTATCCCCTCCACACACTTCACACTCGCCCCGCACTCCGCATGAACTGAAATCGAGGCGAGGGAGGCGAAAAAAACGAATGGGGGGATCAGAAATTGTCTGGGATGGGGGAAAGCGATGATTTGGATGATTTGTAGATGGATCTATGTGTATATAAGTATAAAATAAACATAATGCATTATGCTAGTCCTTCCGGAAAGTCGCTGGACTGATATCGGCGACCTGCATTGTGAAAAAATAAAAGTTTTCTTTGCACTGTGCAATTTCTTTTTTGCACCGTGCAATAGGCTTTTTTATGTTTTCGTTTGCAACCTGACTTATTTCGTACAGTGCAGGCGCCAAAAATCAGTCCAGCGACGTTCTGGAAGAAGTAGTAGATAAGGACTATTCCGATTTTTAAAAAGAGTGTAGTCTTTTTTGTCATGCTCCTGCACCGTGCAAAAAACCCCATTTTGGGAAAAAGTTCCTTATTTTGGCCACAACAAAGGTACCCTGCGAACTGCGCCCAAGCTTGGGCACTAAAGTTAGGAAAAAACGCTTCGAACTAGCTGGCACTGAATTACTATAATATCTCTATAGTTTTAAGGGTACCTACGAAGGCTGTGACGACTCATTTAGTTCCATACGGAGGCAATAAGTTTAGTTCCGGACATGTTTCATCGTATAAAGTGTAAAATCACAGGCTGCAGCCGTTTTTGAAGGGTAAGATGGTACGTAAAAAAGAAGGTACCTCACTAACTAAATCCACTGTACGGGCATTGACAACGATGAATTGAGCGTGCACGCCAAATTTGGGCTAATTCCGACCAGTTTCCGCAAAGTTATAAGTTGTGGCCAAAATAAGGAACTTTCACCAAAAAATTTATTTTTTTTTTTTGAAACTCCCATATACAAAATCTTCTCAAGTATTTACAAAATTCACCAAAAAACCAGCGACTTTTTTGCAAATGCCCTCTCCCACCCTCACCTCTCACTTCCAATTTCGTATTACCAACAATTCTTCCGGCTGGAATGAGAGAAAAAACGTAGGGTTTTCACTTTTCCCCTTCGCAAAAGAGAGCCCGGAAAACGGCCGCAAAAAATGACCGGTCACATGGCGCCAAACACATAAAATTCCAACTCTAATTCAACACTTAATCGCTCTTTAAAAGTGCATTTAATTTCCTGTCGTTTCATTTTATGAGTGAAAAAGTCGGGAGTCTGGACTGCACAGGGCAAGTGATAAGAAGAGGCGGAATCTGCACCGTGCTATGGGAATTTGGGTTGAAAATTGTATTCGAATAATGAGAATGTCTAGAAAGACTGTTCTAAAAAATTCGAGTCAAATTCTGCTGAACTGTGCAAATGAGAGACCCAAAATTTGACTGCACCGTGCTGTTGGCCGGGATAGAGAAAATCAGCACTGTGCAAGGGAAATTTGGTTGAAAGTTGTATTCGAGTAATGAGAATGTCTAGGAAGACTATTCTAGAAAAATCCAGCATCTAATTTTACCGCACGATACAAATGAGAGACCAAAGCTTTGACTGCACCGTGCAGTTGGCCTGGATAGATAAAATCAGCACCGTGTTATGGAGATTTAGGTTGAAAATTGCATTCAGACAATGACAATGTCTAGTAAGACTGTTCTCAAAAATTCAGAATCTAATTTTACCTCACAGTGCAAATCAATGATCTAAACTTCGACTGCACTGTGCAATTGACTTCTATAGAGAAGATTAGCACTGTGCGAGGAAAGTTTCGTTTGAAATTTGTATTCAAATGATGAGAATGTCTAGTAAGACAATCCCAGAAAAATTCAGAATCTAAGTTTGATGCACAGTGGAAAGGAGAGACCAAAACTTTGACTGCACGGTGCAGTTGGCCTAGATAGAGGAAAAAAACATTGTGCTAGGGAAATTTGGGTTTAAAACTGTATTCGAATACCCAGAACATCTAGCAAGATCATCCCAGAAAAATTCAGAATCTCATTTTACCGCACAGTGCAAAGGAGAGACCACAATTTTGACTGCACTGTGCAGTTGAGCTGAATAGAGAAAGTCAGCACAGTGCTGGGAAAATTTTGTTAGAAATTTGTACTCGAATAATGAAAATGCCTAGTAAAGCCATCCCAGAAAAATTGAGAATCTAATTTTGCCGCACAGTGGAAAAGAGAGACCAAATCTTTAACTGCACTGTGCAAGTGGGCTGGATAGATAAAATCAGCACTGTGCTCGGAAAATTTGTGAAGGAAATAGCGCTTGAATAATCAGAATACCTAACATGACTGTTCTAAAAAATTCAGCATCTAATTTTACCGCACGATACAAATGAGAGACCAAAGCTTTGACTGCACCGTGCAGTTGGCCTGGATAGATAAAATCAGCACTGTGCTAGGGGAATTTGGATTGAAAATTGTATTTGATTAACGAGAACGTCTAGGAACATTGTTCTAAAAAAATCAGCATCTAATTTTACCGCACAGTGTAAATCGAAAGCCCCTAACTTTGACTGCACAGTGCAGGTCACCTGAATAGAGAATATCTGCACTGTGCGACAAACGTTTGCTTTGAAATTTGTACTCGAATAATGAGAATATCTAGGAAGACTGTTCTATAAAATACAGAATCTAATTTTACCGCGCAATGCAAATGAGAGACCAAAACTTTGACTGCACTGTGCAGTTGAGCTGAATCGAGAAAATCAGCACTGTGCTAGGGAAATTTTGTTAGAAATTTGTACTCGAATAATGAGAATGTCTAGTAAGACCATCCCAGAAAAATTCAGAATCTAATTTTGTCTCACAGTGCAAATAAGAGACCAAAACTTTGACTGCACTGTGCAGTTGAGCTGAATCGAGAAAATCAGCACTGTGCTAGGAAAATTTATGTAGGAAATTGAGCTCGAATAATCAGAACACTTCACATGACTGTTCAAAAAAATCAGCGTCTAGTTTTACCGCACAGTACAAAGAAGAAACCAAAACTTTGACTGCACTGTGCAGTTGAGCTGAATAGGGAAAATCCTCACTGGGTGAGAAAAATTTGAGCTAAACTTTGCAGTTGCATACTCAGTTTACCTATAACGATCATAGTAAAAAATCCCAGAGATGACTTTTGTCGGGCGGTGCAGATAATGCAGCAAAATGATTCATGCACGGTGCAATGGCGAAAGATGCGAGTCTTATGCACTGTGCGGCTTAGGAATTACAAATTTAGCTGAATTTAGTTCTTATATAGCACAAAGCAAATCATTTGTATTCTTTGCTTTTTCATGTTGATCGAATTATTGAATCATTAAGCCAGGAGAACGAATAAACTTCCCTTGCACTGTGCAGATTTTCAAATCACCTATTTTACGCGCTGTGCAGAAAAAATAAGCCAAAATATCGCTCATCAAAGGAAAAACATGGCCTTCCTAACATTTCCAAGCCATATTTTTTCATAAATTTTTGGTACAGTACTTTCTTTTCAAAAAAAAAAAAAAAAAAAAAAAAAAAAATTAATTAAAAAAAGTAGATAATTGTAAAAACGTCCGCGTCAAATTTCAGTTGAGTATCGGTATGTCTAAAAAAGTGATCAAATTCGCTCCTACGCATCGCATCGTCCAATAAAAACCAAATCTTTTTTGCACAGTGCAATTGCCCCCAATCGGCCAGCTAATCCAGATCCCTTTAAAAAGATTAAAATTGCCGTCGCAAATGCCTTCGGCCAATACATTCACGTCCGAGAAACGAAGTTCAAACCGGCCGAAATGACCATGGACGCGGCCGAAAGAGAGCGGGCCGTAAAAAAGAGTGGACGAGAAAAAGTGACGCGTGCTGGTCAGTGTCTGGGAAGCAGAAGGGGAATGCCGTCGGCCGCTCTTATCATGTTTTATGCATTCACGTGGGGGAGAAGCTTGGAAGAGAAGGGGTAAAATACGACGTGAGAATACTGGAGAACAACTGTGTTTTATGAAACAGCCTAATCGGGGCTTCGGTAGTTGAGCCCCCCACGAAAGGTAGTTCAAACCCCCACTGTTTTGCCCGTTTCACACCCCACATAATGAACAAATTAGAATAATACAAAAAATGTAAGTGGGGGTTTGATCTACTACGTTGTGGGTTTGATCTAAAGCGTAGGGGGCTTGACCTAAAACGTAAGGGGCTTCATCTAAAACGTAGGGGGCTTGTGCTGGACCATACAACTTGGATTAATTCTTTGAAATAAATTTTGGGGTTCAGAATGGACGAGGGGGTTCGTACTGGGTCATGGGGGGCTAAACTGGACTGGGGGGCCGTACTACCATAGCCTGTACTACCGTAGCCCCGCCTAATCTTTGTAAAACCTATCAAAAAGATCAAAAAAAAAAGAAAATGGAGGAGAATGGTAAAAAGTGCCTACAAATTAGCGGCTACAAATTACAAATATGAAAAGAAATGTAAAATACGGTCCATTACCCTTGTATAGGTGTATAAAAACACACTTTGTTTAGCGATTTTTCGCTGGTAAAAAATTTTTTACGAAAGGCAGTGAATTTTTTTTAATGAAAAAGTGGTTGCTTTGATTTTTTTTTTGAAAAATTTTCAAGAAAAAATATAAAAAAATAGAAAAAAGAAAAAAGAAAAGTAAAATACGGCGGTCCGTTGCACTTGTAGATGCATTTGAAAATCACTGGTTTTTATCGACTTTTCGCTGATAAAAATTTTTTGGGAAAGACCATAAATTTATTCTAATGAAAAAATAACTGTTTTGAGTTTTTTTAAACTTTTCAAGAAAGAATATAAAAAAACTAGAAAAAATTTAAAAAAAAAGTAAAATACGGCGATTCATGGCACTTCTACACGCATTTGAAAATCGATTTTTAGCGATTTTTCATCGATGAAAAATTTTTTGGAAAAGGCAATGAAGGCTAATGAAGGCTAATGAAAAAGTGATTTTTTTGATTTTTTTGAAAAATTTTCAAAAAAAATATACAAAAATAGAAAAAAAAATGAAAATAAAAGTCAAATATGGTGAATATCACATGTACATGCTTTTAAAAATCAATCTTTTTTAGCGATCTTTTGTTGACAAAATATTTTTTTGAAAAAGTCTATAGATATTTTTTTACTTTTTTTATAAAAAAAAGTTTAAAAAAAAAAAAAAATTGTGACCAGCCCAGTTTTTAAAATTCAAGATACAGATTAAAAAAAAAAAAAAAAAAAAAAAAAAATAGAAAAGTAAAGTAAAATACGCAAGCCTCCGATTTCAGCGTCTAAATTTAAAAATCAATGTTTCTTAGCGATTTTCCGCTGATAAAAAAACTTTTTTTGGGAAAGCCCAGGGATATATATTTTGTTTTATTTTTTTGAAAAAAGTCGTATTTTAGGCTATATTTGAACAAAAAATATATTATATTTTTTTGACCAGCCATTTTTTAAACTTGAAAAAAAATAAAAAAAAGTCAAACTGACCATTTCGACAATGACTCGGCGAGAACGTCCGCTGCTTCGAATGCGAACATCGTTGACCCATAACTGGGACAGCTGGGACAGTCTCCTCCTCGTCCTCTCTTTCGCCAAATGCTCGGAAACCACCGCTGCTGGAGGGGGCAAGCTGGATATCCGGGAGATCGGCGCGCTGAAAAAATTGAATAAAATAAAATTTGTTTTGCCTGTCTGTCGGGAAAATAATGTGGATTTTTTGATATTAGTCGGTCGGGAAAATAATGTGGATTTTTTGATATTAGTCGGTCGGGAAAATAATGTGGATTTTTTGATATTAGTCGGTCGGAAAAATAATGTGGATTTTTTGATATTCGTCTGTCGGGAAAATAATGTGGATTTTTTGATATTCGTCTGTCGGGAAAATAATGTGGATTTTTTGATATTAGTCGGTCGGGAAAATAATGTGGATTTTTTGATATTAGTCGGTCGGAAAAATAATGTGGATTTTTTGATATTAGTCGGTCGGAAAAATAATGTGGATTTTTTGATATTCGTCTGTCGGGAAAATAATGTGGATTTTTTGATATTCGTCTGTCGGGAAAATAATGTGGATTTTTTGATATTAGTCGGTCGGGAAAATAATGTGGATTTTTTGATATTAGTCGGTCGGGAAAATAATGTGGATTTTTTGATATTAGTCGGTCGGGAAAATAATGTGGATTTTTTGATATTAGTCGGTCGGGAAAATAATGTGGATTTTTTGATATTAGTCGGTCGGGAAAATAATGTGGATTTTTTGATATTAGTCGGTCGGGAAAATAATGTGGATTTTTTGATAGTCGTCGGTCGGGAAAATAATGTGGATTTTTTGATATTAGCCGGTCGGGAAAATAATGTGGATTTGCGATGATGGGAGGATTTTAAAACGCGACGAATCCACATTATTTTTCCGCCATTTTAATCGAAGGAGTTGATGTATTTTATAAAAATTTTATAAATTTATGACACCTCTAGGAAAAAAAAATAAAAATATTGGAAAAAAATAAAATATTTTTTATTTTTTTTTAATATTTATTTACATAAATATTTCAAAAACCGTATTTTAGAAGCCAGAAATTTTATGAAAAACCCTAGAGGACATATTTAAAAAAAATGCATTTTCGCACTGTGCAGTTTTAAAAATATTGTAAATATTGCACAGTGCAAAAAAAATCAATTTTTCAGTCGACATTGTGCAATAAAACTAAAAATTTCTAAAAAATAAATAATGGGAGCTTCCAAATCATCTCGAAAAAAGTGTCAATTGCACGCGGGAACAGTCAAGATGACTTACTGATTTGTGAGAAAAACAAGTTCCAATCAAGTATGTTAAATCGCTTCGGGGGAAATTAGGAAATCGCATGTTAAAATTGAAATTTAATTTGCTCCATGTTACAGGAATTACCAAGTTTCCGACGGTTTTCAGTTTCAAAATCAAGAATTGATTTGACTTTTTGCACAATGCAGCCGAAAATTGGTAAGTGAAATTCTCGCACAGTGCAAAAATATTTTTTTTTTGTTGCTGAATAACGTGCGACAAAAATTTGTGACTTTACACGGTGCGACAAAAACCAAAAAAAGCTTTTTTTCTGCACTGTGCGAAAATCAAAAACAAAGCTGAAAAACGCACAGTGCAAAATTTTTATTTGCACTGTGCGACGAGAAAGCAAGATAACTATCGCACTGTACAAAAAAATAAAAAATTGTCTGCACGGTGCAACGGCGACAAAGAAATTTTTTTTGCACGGTGCAAAAAATTAAAATGGTCTGCCCAATGCATCGGCGACAAAAAAAGTTTTCTGCACTGTGCGAAAATCAAAAACAAAATTTTTATTTGCACCGTGCAAAAAATCAAAATTGTCTGCACGGTGCAACGGCGACAAAAAAGGTTTTCTGCACTGTGCGAAAATCAAAAACAAAATTTTTATCAGTCCGTCGGAAAAATAACGGCGGATTGTCGCATCAAAATGTCTCGCCTCGCCGCTGTCGCGCACCAAATCCCAAGCCGCGGCTTGCAGTCGCAAAGCGATGATGGGCGATTCGGAGGCGCGACGATCCGCCGTTTTTTTCCCGACAGACCGATATTTGCACTGTGCGAAGAAAAAGCACAATATCAGTCTGGCCGAAAAAGAATTTCACCCCCCTCCGCACAAAAATCGCAACCCGAAAATCCAAACCTGCGCGCGACATTGAAGATTTTCCGCGACGAAAGGGAAAAATCGCTAAAATTTGGTGAATGCACAGTGCAAATGAACAAAAACAACGGTTTGCACTGTGCGAAACAGGCCCGAAACCCCGATTTCGGGCCTGCGACACGTCGCTTTCTTCGTTTTTTCGGCGACATGCCCCAAATTTCTCCGCGATGCAAATTGGGGTTTGGAGTGCGTGCGACGGAGGGGTTCGGGGTGCGAAATTCTTTTTCGGCCAGACTGATAATTATCGCACTGTGCAAAAAAATAAAAAATTGTCTGCACGGTGCAACGGCGACAAAGAAATTTTTTTTGCACGGTGCAAAAAATTAAAATGGTCTGCCCAATGCATCGGCGATGAACATTTTTTTCTTGCACAGTGCAAAAAATTAAAAATTGTCTGCACCGTGCAACGGCGACAAAAATTTTTCTTGCACTCTGCGAAAATCAAAAACAAAGCTGAAAAACGCACAGTGCAAAATTTTCATTTGCACTGTGCGAAGAGAAAGCAAGATAACTATCGCACTGTGCAAAAAAAAAATAAAATAAGGGCTGCACGGTGCAACGGCGACAAAGAAATTTTTTTGCACGGTGCAAAAAATAAAAAATTGTCTGCACGGTGCACCGGCGACAAAGAAATTTTTTTGCACTGTGCAAAAAATTAAAAATTGTCTGCACCGTGCATTAGCGATAAATTTTTTTTGCACCGTGCAAAAAAAACTAAAAAAAATTTCTGCACAGTGCATTCGCGATAAATTTTTTTTGTCAGAAAAATTTTTCTTGCTCTGTGCAAAAAGTAAAAAATTGTCTGCACCGTGCAACGGCGACAAAAAAGGTTTTCTGCACCGTGCAAAAAAAACAAAACAAAATTTCTGCACAGTGCATTGGCGATAAAATTTTTTTTGCACAGTGCAGAAAAAGAATTTTTGCACCGTGCAAAAAACAAAAAATTGCCCGCACAGTGCAAACAAAATTTTTCTTTGAAAATAAATTTTCTTGAGTTGGTAAACCAACATAATTTTATGTAATCAAAATATAAAAGAAACTCTCAGCCAAAGACATGAAAATAATTACAGCTTGTATGAAATATCACTAATTACAAAGTAAACAGGGAAAAATATGTTTTCTTCCGCACGGTGCGGAAAAATTTTTATTTTTTTTTCAAAATAAACAGTTTTTTTGAAAAAATTATTTAAAAATATTCAGAAATCAAAAAATTTTTCAGAAAATTTAAGTTTTTATCCCTCCATTTTCGCGTGCCGATTTGCAAAAAAATTCCGTCTAATGACCGACTTTTGCTCCTCTTATCAGTAGCCGGCTCCTAATAACGGATTATAAACGGAGGTCGAATTCAGCGGGGGAAAAGCGGAACTTTCGGAGCTATTAAATTTTTATTTTCCCCACGAAATGTTTTGTTCCAAAATCCAAAAATAAATCGTCCCGAGGGTATCCTGAAACCGCTGGAACATCTGTCCAAAAAATATAACCAGCTCGCGCCGAAATTTTGAAAACAAACCCGCCGAACGTCGTGAAAAAAAGCGCCGCGGTATGGGGGTTTCTGGGCGATTTTCACGAGATCTGCGCATTTCCGGTTCAGATCGGCTTTCATTTTGATGTATTTTGGGAGCGAGGAACCGCGAGCTGATTAATTTCGAGCTCGAAAAGTGTTTTGAGAGTTTTTTGAAAATTATTTTTTTTGCACAGTGCGGTGAGTTTGGGGTGTCTGCACAGTGCAGAAAACTAAGAAAAATCGCACAGTGCAAATTTTTTCTCTGTTTTTTTTTTTGCACGGTGCGGTGATTTTTTAGTCTCCGCACAGTGCAGAAACCTGAGAAAAATCGCACAGTGCAATAATTTTGTGGCGACAAAAAATTTGATTGCACGGTGCGAAAGTAGCCATTTTTTCTTATTGTTTGCAGTGTGCAGATTATCTCACTTTTTTCGCACAGTGCAGAAGCCTGAGAAAAAAATGCACAGTGCAAGCATTTTTTTTTTGCACAGTGCGGTGATTTTGGGATGATTGCACAGTGCAAAAAGCAGAGAAAAAGTGCACAGTGCAAAGAAATGTTTTGGCCGACAGAAAACTTGCTTGCACGATGCAAATTATTTTCGTCATTTTTTGCACCGTGCGGTGATTTTGGGCTGACTGCAGAGTGCAAAAAGCAGAGAAAAAATGCACAGTGCAATAATTTTGTGGCGACAAAAAATTTGATTGCACAGTGCGAAAGAATCCATTTTTTATTATTGTCTGCACTGTGCAGATTATCTCACTTTTTTCGCACAGTGCAAAAGCCAGAAAAAAATGCACACTGCAAGGATTTTTTTTCATGTTTTTGCACAGTGCGGTGATTTTGGAGTGTCTGCACAGTGCAAATTTTTTTTTAAAATTTTTTTGCACGGTGCGGTGATTTTTTAGTCTCCGCACAGTGCAAAAAGCAGAGAAAAAAATGCACAGTGCAAAGAAATTTTTTGGCGACAAAAAATTTGATTGCACAGTGCGAAAGAATCCATTTTTTCTCATTGTTTGCACTGTGCAGATTATCTCACTTTTTTCGCACAGTGCTTCTTTAGCGACAAAAACCTTGACTGCACAGTGCAAATTATTTTCGCCATTTTTTGCACCGTGCAATGATTTTGGGCTGACTGCACAGTGCAAAAATTTGAAAAACAATGCACAGTGCAAAGAAATTTTTTGGCGACAGAAAGCTTGCTTGCACAGTGCAAATTATTTTTTCGCAATTTTTCGCATGGTTCGGTGGCTTTGGAGGGTCTGCACAGTGCAAAAATTTGAGAAAAACTGCACAGTGCAACGAAGTTCTTTAGCGACAAGAACCTTGACTGCACAGTGCAAAGAAATTTTTTTTGACGACAAATAATTTGATTGCACAGTGCGAAAGCATAAATTTTTCTTACTTTTATGCACTGTGCGGAAAATTTTGCTGTTTTTTCGCACGGTGCAACAAAATGAAAAAAAATTCACACAATCAAAAACTCAACATATCAAAAAAAAATCAAATTTTGGAACGGCCAAAAAATAAAAAATTTCCTGTTATATAAAACCAAATCCACAAAGAATTTCATGTGTAATTTCGAAACCCAGACTGAGAAAACCTTGGTCTTATAACTCGGATTTCCTGAGCTTTCTGCCATTGTGTGGGAGAAATAAGAATGAAAAGAAGTGAGTCATCTCGACAAAGCAACAGGTAAGTTGTCTTACTTTCAGCAAAAATTTTTTTAAACGTGTTTTAAAACGGTGAAATCAAAAAAAAAATGGTTTGGAATTGATGCCTTCAAAAAAAAAAACGATTTGCCACCTCTACTTTGGTGATAGAAAAATTGAAAACAACTGTATTTCGTTCTTACAAGGAAAGTACTTCTATGGGGTATAAAGTTACAGTTCGAAAAATATATCAAAAAAATCGCAGAATTTTTCTGATTCAGAATGTGTAAAAATAAGCTGCCCAATTTTGGTTTGTAAGGGCGAAAAACCGTCACAACTTTTCTCGCAACGCCACAATTACATTGAAACTACTACTAATTAAGGTGCAGTATAAATCAAATTCGATTCCTTCCGTTCACACCGCGGTGAGCGGTTGGGTTTCCTGCCGACGATGCCGTTGCGGGCAACAACCCCTCCGGAGGATGGCAGAAGCTCAACCCGTGGCAGGACCTTCTTGAGGATTGGCACACTGGAGAACCGACGTGACATCCCCATCTTTCATGGCTCGTTTCTCTACTTTTGATAGATGATCAGCGGAAATAAATTGAAATTGAATTAATCAAATTTGATATTTTGAGGCTTGGCAAGATGCCGGGGTTTACTTGAGCTCCAAAAAAACCTTTTGAATTGGTAGAAAGCTTTGTCAAAAAGGCATTTGCGTGGTGTTGCGAGGGAAGTTCTGAGGACTTTTACCCTTACAAACCCAAAGAGGGCAGGAAATTTTTACACATTCTGAATCATAAAAAATTTGCGATTTTTTAATATATGTTTCGACCTGTAACTCCATACCCCATATCAGTACTTTCAAGATGCCCACAAACAAACAAAAAATATCTGGAGTTAATTTGTCACCTCTAGTTTGATGATAAAAAAACAAAAAGCCACTGAATTTCCTGCTTAAAAAAACCAAGGTATTACTTTCAGGCCCATCTCCAACAAGTTTAACCGAGTAAACTTACAAAGCCCCCAAAGGCCAAACAACACACGTAATTGCGAAATTTCGAACCCGTCCCAAACTGCCCGATTAAAAGTTCCCGGCCCCCAAAGTTTGCACTTGTAAGTTGAAAAACATACAACGAACATACGACGTGCGCGAAAAAAAACAATGAAAGGGAACTGTTCGCTTTGACCCAAAAGCCGACTTTCTTTTGTGTGTCCCGGCGAAATTGATCGGCAGACAATAGAACGAGGCTGCTCGCACGCAACTCTCCACGCAATTCACTCGCTCTACGTCGGCGATGAGGTAAGATGGAGGGGAGATCTGCGACTTTTTTGGGGTTTGCACAGTGCAGACAGAGATTTTTTGGAAAAATGGGCTTTTGCACTGTGCGTTGGAAGTTGAGGAGGATTTTTCGTGGAACCGTGCAATAGCCGGCTAGATATTTAAATTTTCACATAACACAAGGGTGTTCTGTGTCTCACACAAATTTTTCGGTGACACTTTGGATTTTTTTTTGGGTTTTGCACAGTGCAGACGAGATTTTTGGAAAAATTGAAATTTGCACTGTGCAGTGGAATTTGAAGGATGATTTTTGGTTGCGCAGTGAAAAATACGTGAAGACGACAAGATTTTTTTAGGCAGTGTAAAGAAAGTTTTAAGCAAACTATTCTGCACTGTGCGCTCAAAAAAGGAACAAATTGACCTTTGTTTGCATTGTGCACCAAAAACTGAAATTTCGTTTCTTGTTTTGTCATATGAAATTCAGCCGTTTTATCGCACGATATATTTTTGGCATCCTTTTTCGCTTCTTTGCACAGTGCATCGAGAATTTAAACTTTTGTCTTTGCACTGTGCGGAGAAAAAATGAAAAACTTCCCACTGCACCGTGCGAAAGACTGCAGAATTTAAAATTTACATCGCAAGTTAGATTTGGAACTTTTTTCAAGCAACTCAAAAATTTTACATTGCCTTAGGTCATTTTTGCATTGTGCAATGAAGAAAATTAAAATTTGACTTTGCACTGTGCAGAGAAAAAATGTGAAATTCCACACTGCACAGTGCGAAGGACTACAAAATTTAAAATTTTCTTTGTGTGTAAAAATTGAAAGTTTTTGGACAGCCTGACAAAGTTTTTTATCGCTTTATGGCCCTTTTCCACGGTCCAGTGATAAAAATTAAAATTTGACCATGCACAGTGCAACAAATTTCAAAATTTCGACATAAAAAGTCAAAGACAAAAAATCGCTCACCTGAATAGTGTTCCCCACAATTTGAAAGTACTCTCCAGAGTCCCACGCATCTTCCATCCAGCAATCTCCATCCTCATCCATTGGGATGTCTTCCAAACTCCCATCATACAATTCCACCTCATGTTCTTCATCACTGCTGATCAGCTGCTTACTGTCATGCTCTGTGCGATCTAGGGAAGAGTCTCTGGAGCCGAAATGCCGCACGACCGAAGCGGCAAGCCGAACCGGCGAGGCTGAGACAAGGCGACGTTGCAGCCAGTCCAGCTTGATTTGAGGAGGGGAAGAAGGTTGAGGTTCTGTTGAAATGGCAGCCTGTTTGGCGGACTGAAACAAATATTTAAAAATTCGCAAAAAAGTCAATGTTATGTCCATTTTCACATACGCCGAAAAGGCCAAAAAACGACCGAATAAAGAACTCAAAAGAATAAGACCAATAACTACAGGGTGGCGCATCTTTGTGGACCGATTTGAATTGGCTATAACTTCTTTAGTTTTCGGCCAAATCTTAAAATTCTTTTTTTCCCTGAATCCTCTGACAACCCCATTTTGTTTCATACCAAATATGTTATACATAGTAAGTGTATATCTACAGTTACAGTAAGAATAGAGGCCAAAAGTAGTAAAAAAAGGCTAACAGGGGAAGTACCCCAAGTGCGACGCTCAGATTTTGATGAAACTTGGCACAAATTTAGAGTAATTTTTTCTAAGATATATACGAGAATCCTAGCTTGCGCTTTGCAGAAGAAACCGAGATTTTTGGATCGAAAGTCGGCCAAAATTTAGGACTTTTTGCCGAATTTTGGCACGAAAAGTTTCATGCCTATTTCTATCGTAAAGGATAATTTTTCTACAAAAAATCAAATTTTTCCGCACGAAACTGCCAAAGTTATGGCCAAAAAGCGCTTTTCTCTCTGACCGCTCTCCACGTTGAGTGTGCTCTCTCGGCGGCAAAAATCGTTCGATTTCTCGGCGGCGCCCGCAAAGCGCGAGCTAAAACTTTCAGGAATTGATATTTAGTCCATACCCGACGTGTGTGCAAAATTTAAAGAAAATCTGAGCGTCGCACTTGGAGTACTTCCTCTGTCAAAAGAGTAAGGCCAATAACTATTAACTAAGCCCATTTATTGTCCATAAAAGAAAGTATATAACATATTTCGTATTAAAAAATAGGGACGTCTGAGAATTCACGGAAAAAAGGAATTTGGCCAAAAACTGAAAAATTTGTAGCCTATTCAAATCCAGCCGAAAAATTGCCGCACCCCGTATTTTATTATTTTTTTGTTATTCGTCAAAATAATACAGGGTGGTTCAGCTAAGTTCGCGGATGTAGAATGCTTATAACTTTTTATAGGATTGTTCAATTTTTATGAAATACCAAAGATTGGCAAAATTGGGCCAATTTTGCATAGCTGGGATCGCTCTGTTCACCATCATTCCCCGGTACCAGCGAGCGGTGACACCGCAATTCAAAAATTTTTGAAAATTAAATTTTTTTAAAAATTTACGTGAAAAAGCATGTTTGACTTTGAAGGGTCATAACTCGACGTAGGATTGATCGTTTTTAATGATCTGTTTTTTAAACAAAATGGCAACTACTAAGGAATAAAATGAGCTATTGCTCATAAAAATTGAACAATCCTGTAAAAAGTTATAAGCATTTTACATCCGCAAACTTAGCTGAACCACCCTGTAGTATGCTAGCAAAAAAACTTCATAGATTTATAATCTTCTTTTTCTCAATGTAAAATACATACATCTGTCAGTTCCAAAAAAAACCTCGGATATTTCAAAAACTAAAAAATTTTGCCAATATTTCCACCGCCACCACCCTCCATTATCCCCTTCCGTTTATGCGCTACCATAACTCATACTGCATAAACAGCTCGAGTGCCATAAAAAGCGGTTGTGTTAACTCCTACAAATGGGCCAACAGCCGCGATTAAAGACGCCGCTTTCAAAGAACACAGACCGTTCAGCGCTAAATAATCTGCCCTCGGGGAAATATCGGAATGGCCACTGAAGAAGAGGCGCTTCTTGGCCGCCGAAATCCGCCGTCGATTGTCTATAAATTCGAATGGCATTCAGGGATGAGTGAATTGTTCGAAAAAAGAGGTAAAAATAGATGAAAAATGAGAGTTTATCGGTCTGTCGGGAAAATAATGGGCACTCTGCCGCAACGAATATCGCATCGCCGCCGAGAAAATGAATTGTGTCAAAAATCAAATTGCTTTTCAATTCAGTGAAGTGATTGGCACAGCGATTGTGCTCATTATTTTCCCGACAGACTGATGGTTATATCTTATCAAAGGAAACATTTTATTTTTTCTGTTCATAGTCTGAAAACGAGGAAGAATTGCAACCAAAACTTAAAATGAAAAGGACCTTTGTATAACAAAACAATTTTTAAGACCTCAGGCTAAATTTTATGCTATTTTCTACCGTAGAAGCAAGGCCCAAACCTTTGCAGAGGCCGTCAAAACACTTTGTTATGTTTCCACAAAAAAAAAAAAAAATTTCGATGACAAAGATACGGCCAAAAAGTGTTTTTCCCGCTTACCGCTCTCCGAGTTTTTGTACTCTCTCGGCGGCAAACATCTCCCAATATCTCGGCTGCTCTTGGAAAGCGCTAGCTAAAACTTTTAGGAATTGATATGTGGCGTATTATCGAAATGTATGCAAAATTTGAAGAAAACCTGAGAGTCACACTTGCACGGCAACCCGAAATAGATGAAAAAATTTTTCTTTTGCGACATTTTGTTTGATTTCAACCGATGCAAAATGGGCGAAGTGTCGAAAGGAGCGAAGAAACACTTTAGGTTGCCGTGCACTTGGGGTACCCCTTTATTTATTGTTACCTAGACAGCTTGGGGAATAAAATTGAAAATTAGGGTAAAATACGAGTTATGGAAAACTCCGAGACAACGAAGCCTGCCTATAACAAACATTTTTTTCTGATCTTTTGAGAGTCAATTATAGGCCAAAAGTACATTTTTTCTGCATATAAAAATCGTCGGTTGGTTCGGAAAAGCGCATGCTCAAAATCTCGCATCGGTCTAAAAATAAGAGATTTTTCATTCAAATTTGTGTCAGGTTACATTAAGATCTAAGCGTTGACATTTATACTGTTTTTTGCGAAAAAATAAACCTCACAATGTCAGTAACCTATATGTTGTAGTCGAATTTGTCGTTCTAATAAACTCATACTGCAAGCAAGCCCTTTTAACACCCCAACAGCCACCAAAACCCCGCTTCCAAAACGTACTATAACATGTTTAAACTCGAATACATATAACATTCCACAACTATGCAAGACCCAACTCTTTGCAGAGGCCGTCAAAACACTTCATTGTCCTCGCAATTCCCCAGACTTATCACCCCGAAAAAAGCCCTGAAGAATCCGCGGCGCTCAACTAATAAAATCAACTTTTTCGCTTTTTCGTTGGCATTTCATTTCGCGAAACCCGAAAAAAGCGAATGCCCGCAGGGTCGGCGTCTCCGGGGACCCAAACAAATTTGAAAAATTGCCGGAAAACCGAGGGACATCAATTCGGGTCGGTTATGGAAACATCATATTTCGCGCGCGCCTACATCATTCCGCGGGATTAGACGGGGGGTCGGAAATTGACGAGAAATGACAGTAAAATATTCGAAATTGGAAATGGAATGCGACTTTTTTGGAAGCCGATTTGGCTTCTTTTTGGTCGATTTGCTCAAAAAGTTAAGAATATCAGTCTGTCGGGAAAATAATTAGCGCAATGTCGCTGAACTGAAAAGCAGATTGATTTTGCCGCGATACAATTCATTTTCTCAGCGGTGGCGCGATTTTCGATGCAACAGAGGACTCATTATTTAATCTACAGACTGGTATTATAAAGTTAAAAAGTTCCAGGTGCGACGCATTGATTTGCTTTTAATTTTGCACACAGTTCCAGCACAGGTCCAATGAAAATTGAAGAAATTTTTAGTTTGCGCTTTGCCGGCCAAGCCGAGATATTGAACAATCTTTACGGCCGAGAGAGTACGCTAAATGCGGATGACGGTCAGAGAAAAGCACTTTTTGGCAATAACTTTGTTGGTTTTGTGCGGAAAAAAATCAATTTTTTGATGAGTATTACTCTCTGCGATAAAAATATGTGCGAAACTCTCTATGTTAAAAGTTCCAAAACTCTGTCATTTTTTACCAACTTTCGGTCTAAAAATCTCTTTTGTTTCCGTAAAGTGCAAGTTAGGGGTCTGGATGTGCTCACCTCGTATTTTACAATAAAAAATATGTTTTTATATACTTGTAGCAGCAAAGCCTCGTCTGTAAAATCACAAAAATCAACAAAAAATATGAAAATTTTCATACCAAAAATTAGCAAAAAATACCTCATTTAAGCCAATCTTCGACCTAAAAATCTCAGTCGTTTCAACAAATCGCTTGCTCAGAGTCTGGCATATACATTATAAAAAAAAACAATAAATTTGCCCCGAGTTTTGTCAAAATCTGAGCACTGCACTTGGCGCTCTGTCCCTGTAAACAAATTCAAACTTTTCACAGCGATTCACAAGGGACTTAAAAAAAGCTTCGGTTTACAGTGGTTTTTGCTGTCAAATTCGAGGCTATTCTTCAATTTTAAAGTACGCAAAAATACATTTTTTAATAGTATCCATCATACTTTCCCATTATTGGTTATCATAAAATTTGGTTGCGTTACTTCTAGACAAAATAAAAATTTGGCAAGAATCAAACAAAAAAGTGCCCTTCACCAGATTTTGACCAAAAACGGACTTTATGAACATACTGATATCAGTCTGTCGGGAAAATAATGAGCCCTCTGTCGCATCGAAAATCGCATCGCCACCGAGAAAATGAATTGTGTCGCGGCAAAATCAAATGGATTTTTACTTTACCGACGCGATTGGCGCAACGACTATGTGCTCATTATTTTCCCGACAGGCTGATAATTTATGTATGTACACAAAACGAAATTTTTTATTTTGTTTTTCATTATGAAAAAACCCTCTCTATAACGTACAAGGCCAAACTTTAGGTTTTAAAAAATGTGTAGGTAAGTACTTCAAATGCGGTGCTCAGATTTTGATAAAATTTGAAAAAAAATCTATAATTTTTTACAGAATCTACACGAAATTCATGTATCGCGCTTTGCAGAAACGGTGTAATAAAAAAAATTAGTCTTAATTTTGTCCCTTTTCATCAAAATCTGAGCGTCCCAATTGCAGCGCTTTCCTTGTAAAATCCATTCGAATTTCAAACAAAAAGGCCTGGAGACGACCTTAACCTACGGTAAACCAAACATTAAACACCGAGCCAATATGTTTAGCTTTCCATTTGACTTCACAGCCCAAACCCAAACCCTCCCCGACCTCCCCATGCGTTTGTTTCAGAGCTGCCGAAACAGTATCACGCGTGATGCCGTTCCGGCCACCCCCGAAAATCTTAACAAATCCGTTAGAAAAATGTCATTTTCCGGCCAAAAAATCGGGTTTTTGGCTCCGAAAAAAGGCCCGAAAAGATGCGGCCCAAGACGCTGTTCAAACTTGTTCACACCATTGCCGAATGAATCCCGGCCCGCCGGGCGCGACAATATCCGCACCACGGCCCCGTCCGGACCCGTGTTTATTTTCGGGTCCGGAAATTGTAAAGAAGATTGGAGAAGAAGTAATTGGAAAAGGTCAATACAGTAGGAGGAGGACAAAGAGCTGTGGTGGGATGGATTTGAAGTCAATTTTACTTTTTGCAACGCCTTCAAATTGGAGAAGATAGGTGATTTGTAGGCCAAAAATGGGGTAAATCGACCAGAAATGCTAAACATGAAAAAGAAATTTAACAAAATAGGGCCAAGTAAGACGATATTTGGATATACTTAAAATTTCGATCAAAAATGGGCAGGTTGGGCAAGTTGCCCAAAAATTGGGCAAATCGATCAGAAACGGGCAAATTTTTAAAACAAGGTTTACTAAAATGAAGTCAAAAGTAGGATGATATTTAGATATATTTCAATTTCGACAAAAAAATGGGCCGAGTGGGCAAGTTGCCCAAGATTGGGTAAATCGACCAGAAATGGGCAAACTAGACAAAAATATGGCAAAATAAAAAAAAAATCGGCAGCCAAATCAGCTCTTGCCAAAACCTATGCAAATTTGGGCAAATTGGACAACTTGCCCAAAATTAGACTCAATGCCAAAAAAAGAACAATTGACCTTAAAAAAACCAAATTTAGCTCTTGGTAGGCCAAATTGAGCAAAAGTGAACAACTTGTACACCTTGGCCAAAAGTACAAAAATTACTTTTTGACTAAAATGGGCTCAACACCAAAAAAACACAAAGTTTGCCCAAAAAAGGTCATATTTAGCTCTTGGCCAAATCAAATGGGACAAATTGAACTACTTGACCAAAAGGTGAGAAAATTGGGACTATAGACTGCCTCAAATATACCTTCAGAAGAATACACGATAAAAAATATTTTAATACAATTTTACAACCATTTTTTATCAACTTCTCGCTGAAAAGTTGCATAGCTTGAACCCCCTCACTTCTTTCCATTGGAGTTTTCGAGCTAACCAAATTAGGTTGTTAACTTGATTAGGGACACGCTGTTGGGCTTTTTTTGGTCTCTGAATCTTCCGAGTTACGCAATAGTATTTATGGCTTTACTTGGTTTTCGACCTCAAGGATGAAGTGCAGTTAGGAAAAACACAGAGGTGTTGACAAACATAGAAGAAAATTAAAACTGTTGAGTTGCACCAGTCCGTTCGCAAAATTTTGGAGTTATTTTTGCGACATGGACTGTAAGAAAACAAAAGTGCACCTAGCACCAGAGATTGCCACGGTCAAAATTTCGGCTCCGGCTCCGGCTCTTAGCTCCCAGAGCCGGAGCCGAGGCCAAATTTGCAGCTCCGGCTCGCAGCTCCGTGCAAAATTTAAAAAGGCCTCCGGCTCCGAATCCCGGCTCCTATGCAAAATGTTTTTTTTTAAATATTTTTCCAAAAATGAAAGTTACTAGTGCCAGAGATCATACGCCAACGTTTTTGCAGTCAAGTCACATCCTCCGCAGTGTTTTTCAAGCAATTTGGTTTAACAAGATCACGAAATTTTTACTTTTCTGACCGCTGGGAAGCCTGGCTCCGACTTTGGGCTCGGGAGCCGGAGCCGACCCCAAAATTTCCGGCTCCGACTCTGGCTCCCGGCTCGGAGCTTTATATAGCGCTCTTCTGTTCTACTTGTGCCCTCTTATCACGAACAGATTGACACCTGTTCGCGATAAAAGGGCGATGGCGCCGTTTTCTCTTACGTCAACGTGAACTGTGAAGCTATCCATGAACGGTAGATATGCCAATGTGTCTGCGCCATCGAACGTTTGGAGAGTTAGCTTTGGTAATTTTGCCGCCGTGGCCCTGCTTGGCCTTGGTAGAGGTCTCGCTAATACCTCCGCTGCTTCTCGTGTTAGTGTTGCCTCCAATAGTACCAGTTCCGTTTCCACTGAATCGAATGTTGCTATCCATTCCTTTGCCGCTTTAACTGCGTCGTAGCTTTTTTTTGTGCCACTTCCCTCAAGTTTCTCTTCGAGCTGCGCTTTCCCATCCTCTTTGTCCGGACTGGCTTCGATCTGATCTCTTTTTGTCTGCAACTCCTCCACATATTCTTGGACGGCACTGGTCAGCGCTTCTTGAATATCCTCTAGCTTCTTCCGGAGCTGCGTTGAGTCTTCCTACACTTGTGCATGTGGTCTTCCCGTCTTCTGAACCGATAATTCGACGTCTGCGGCTGACACCACTAGCCGTTTGATTCTGACGACCAGTTGGCCTCAGCTCTGAAGTCCTAAGGCCATTATGGCCCAATGCACCATGTAAATGGCTAGACACTTTATTAGGTTGAATATATGATATAAGGCGCGTGATTTCAGAATTCGCGCCGAACTTTCGAAAAATTTTGCCGAATCCTGACTGGGAGCCTCCAACATTAATCTAGGGGATTCCAGACTAGAAATGGTCAGAAAAAACGAATAGAGCGAGAGAAACGCGCGCTATTTCGTGCTCTCTCTGCCTCTCTGCGCCCTCCCTCCGTTCGCGTTCTCTCGCTCTCTCTCTCTCCGTTTTTTGCGTTCTCTCGCTCTGTCTCTCGAAAAAGAGCTCTCCCAGTCAGGATTCGGCAAAATTTTTCGAAAGTTCGGCGCGAATTCTTAAATCACGCGCCTTCTATGATATGTAAGTAATTGAATGCGCCTTATATAGCGCTCTTCTGTTCCACTTGTGCCCTGTTATCACGAACAGATTGACACGATAAGAAGGCGGTGGCGCCGTCTTATCGTCCATATCACGTCGCGACACGTTGATTACCTCGGCTACCTCCAAAGCTTGAGCTAAAATTTTCAGGAATTGATGTGTGACATAAAAAAATTTCGTTTTACATTTCGACTACCACTTCAAAAAAAATTTCTGGTTTTTTTATGTAGTTTCTCATCTCAAAACTTCGAATTTCAGTTAATTTTATCTTTATTTGACCCAAATATAATAAACTTGTGTTAGCAATGGTACAATGGAATGGTTAACATAGTAATTCAGTAGTAATATAGTAGTAATGTGGTGTTACAAGTGAAATTTTACGATAAAATCTTGTTTTACAAACTGTGAGATCAGTGGTAAAACAGTGTTTTTGGTGGATTAAAACTGTACGTGAATTGGTTGTTAGTTTTTTGAATAGAAAATAGTTGAAGTAGGAGAGAAATTTAGGAAAAAAGGCGGTAAAATCACATAATTTGGTATAGAAATCGGGAAAATTGAGTGAAATTGCGAGAAATTAGAGAAATTCTACATAGATTTTGGTTTTAAAATATAGAATGGCGTAGAATCTTACACCGGACAATGAATTATTTGTTTGGAAGTTGGAAATTTTGCGATTTTTTGGAGCTTTTGAGAGGGAAGTGGGATTCGCACTGTGCAGTAAAAATAAATTGAAAATTTTGGGGTTTTCACCATCGTACAGTGAAAATAAGTGACGGAAATGATGTCAATGTGCCAAAAATTTTTTATTTTACAGTACAAAAATTTTGGAGACCTTCTATTTTTGCACTGTGCAAATGATTTTTATTTTACACAGTGCAGTCCAAAAAATGAAAAAACAAAATAAAATTCGCACGGTGCGAAAAATTCCCAATCTCAAAAGCTTCGAAAAATCGAAAATAGACAGTAAATTAAAATATGAAACATAATTTTACAGTGATTTTTGCCGTTTATGGCCAAATTTTGCCTGAACCTGCCAAATTTCGCCCGAATTTGCCAACTTTGACCGAAAATTTCTCAAAATAAGGCCAAGTAAGATGATATGTAGATATATCTTGAATTTTGACCACAAATGGGCAAATTGGGCAGATTGGGCAAGTTGTCCAAAACCTGGGCAAATTGACCAAAAATTCCAAATTTGATCAAAATATGGCCAAATTAAGTAATCTTCGGCCTAATTAGATTTTGACCAAAAATTGACCAAAACTGGGCAAAATTGGGAAAATTGTTAAAATTTGGGCAACTTGACCCAAAAAATGGGAAAATTGACCAAAATTCGGCTCAACATGCCAAAAAACAAAAGAAAATGAAAAATTTGCCCAAGACAGAATCAAGACAACGCCAAATTTAGCTCTTGGCGGGCTCCGGTTTTTCATCTTCAACCGGCCCCAGCGTATGCCATTGGGCGATCGGACGTCGCGGCGACGCCAACATGTCCATCCAGTGCCTCAACTCGGCACCAGTCGCCGAACATCCCAAAATGCAACGGCCAATCGCGTCGTTGGAGCCGAGCTTATCGTAATCCATGACGGTGATCATCAACGAGACCTTTTGGATTTGTTCGAACGGAACTTCGAAACTAAAGGACTCGTTGTAGTAGGGGTTCAGAGTGCACTTCTTGATGGAGGTCTTCTTTTTCTTGAGTCGTTTCCCACCCTGCATTAGGACGATCTTGACGTAGGGGTCTGAAAAAAAGGAATTAAACGAGGTAAAAGTTGGATATCGAGGTAAAATTATATTTCTTATTTTAATTTACTCTCTATTTTTGATTTTTCGGAGTTTTTGAGATTTCAAATTTTTTGCACAGTGCAAATTTTATGTTTTTTTAGACTGCACCGTGCAAAAATAGAATGTCTCCAAAAAATTTTTCTATAGTAAAATAGTTTTTTTTTGGCTCATTGACATCATTTCCATCACTTATTTTGATTACACAGTGATGAAAAACCCAAGATTTTCGACAAATTTTCATTGCACTGTGCAAAATCCGGTTCCCCTCTCAAAAGCTCATTACACTGCAAAAATCGCTGTAATAAGATATGTCGCATTTTATTTACTCTTGATTTTTCGATTTTTCGTATTTTTGAGATTTGAAATCTTTCGCACCGTGCAAATTTTATATTTTTTTGGACTGCACAGTGCAAAAAAAGGGTCTCCAAAATTTTTTTCTGTGCTTAAAATAAATCTTTTCTGGGCACAATGACACCATTTCCGTCACTTATTTTGATTTCACTGTAATGAAAACCCCAAAATTTTCAAAAAAGTTTCTATTTTGGTCGTATTTTACCCATCAAAAAAAATTACTCTAAGCCCCCAATTGTGTTTCAAAAAACTCACCGGAAAGACCTCCAACATCCATCTTTTTGAGGTTCTTGGCTTCCAGAACCACCACTGTCAGCTTCCCGGCAGTTGGAACGTAACGCAGCGAGAAGCAAATATCACCGAGCGATTTCTCCTGAAAAACGATGGTAAAATACGTACAAATACGCTAACTGTCGGTAAATTTTTCACCACACAGAGTGCAAAATAAGGAATTTTTAATTTCTTTTTCACATTTGCAATGTGAAAAAAAAATTTTAGTTTTGCACTGTGCACTAAAAATTTTAGTACAAAAATTGAGCGCAAGAAATTTGAAAGTTATTTTTTTTTCCTGAAAATTTAGGACTTCCTATAAATCAAACTGACACAGTACAAAGAAATTTAACGCTTTGCACTGTGCAAAATTTAGAAATTTAAAAAAATCCGCACTGTGCGGCAATCTTTTTAGTTTTTAATGCTGGTTTAGACAGAAATTTTCATGCCGATTTTTTCTAAACATTGCAAAATTTTCGTATTTTCAATCTTCATAAAGTGGCCAAAAATTTGTCTTCTTGCACCGTGCAAAATTTAGAAACTTTTAAAAATCCGCACTGTGCGGTAAAAATTTTTTACTCTATAAAGCTGCATTAGATAGAAATTTGAAGCCAATCTTTTTTCATCCTATTGCAAAATGTTTTCATTTTCAATCATCACAAAGTAAACAAAATTTGTCTTCTTGCACCGTGCAAAATTTAGAAATTTTAAAAAATCCGCACTGTGCGACAAAAAATTTTTACTCTGTAAAGCCGTATTAGACAGAAATTTGGAGCCAATTTTTTTCTACAAGTTCGCAAAATTTGCATTTTCACCCATCATAACGTAACCAAAATTTATCTTCTTGCACAGTGCGAAATTTAGACACTTTTGAAAATCCGCACTGTGCGGCAATTTTTTTTTTACTTTTTAATGCTGCATTAGACAGAAATTTTTATGCCGATTTTTTCTAGACATTGCAAAATTTTCGCATTTTCAATCTTCTCAAGGCTGCATTAGACAGAAATTTTCAAGCCGTTTTTGTTCTACATATTGCAAAATTTTTGAATTTTCGATCATCATAAAGTAAGCAAAATTTATCTTCTTGCACCGTGCGAAATTTTGCAATTTCGAAAAATCGCACTGTGCAATCAAAAAATTCAAATTTTCCTCATTTCCCCCCAAAAAACTCACTGCTTCCTTGTCATCCGGCGGTGGTTGGATGTCCTTCCACTCCTCAATGACTTGGCCCAGGTCGATTTTCCCCAGGGCCAACAAAACTTGGCCAATTTGGTCGTGTTTCGAGAAGCGGTCAAAGTCGTAGATGTTGAAGACCAACGTTTTGTTGCCGATCTCGTTGAACGGGACCTTGAAAATGAAGGTCTCGTTGAAGACGGGGTTCAGTGTTTTTCTGTGCACCTTCGTTTCGACTTTTTTCTTCTTCTCGGGGAGTAGGTAGAGCTTTACGTAGGGGTCGGAGGTGCCGCTCATGTCCATTCCGGGCAGGTTTTCGGCTTGGATTACGGTCACTGCTAGCTGAAAATTGAAAAATCGTCAAGTTTAGGGCTTAAAATTGATTGAAAACACGGAATTTTCGAAATTTGGGACCTTTCAGGTTTTCGTGGTGGGACCCAAAAATTTGTTTTTTTTTGTTTTTACAGCAATTTCTTGTTGAAAATCAAAAAGAGCAGAAAATTGAGGTCCATAAACTTTCCGTTTCATGGTACAATGTCAATTTAGACGCCTTTTAAAAAATCATGTTTTCGTGGTGGGACCCAAAAATTAGTTTTTTTTTGTTTTTTACAATAATTTCTTGTCAAAAACTTAGAATATGTAAAAAATTGAGGTACATAAACGTTCCATTTCATGATAAAATATCAATTTAGAGGTTTTTCAGAAATTCATGTTTTCGTGGTGGGACCCAAAAATTTGTTTTTTTTTTGTTTTTTTTACAGTAATTTCTTGTCAAAAATCAAAAAAAAGTAGTAAATTGAGGTCCATAAACGTTTCGTTTCATGGTAAAGTCTCAATTTGGACGCTTTTTAGAAATTAAGGTTTTCGTGGTGAGACCAATTATAAAAAAATCTGTTTAAAATACGTCCCCCTTGAATACCAAAAAATATATAAAAAAATTACCTGGCCTTGCTGGAAATCATAATCGAGTTTGTATTGAATCCGACCCAAGTTGACTTCCTCTTTTTCCTCAGCTTGCTCCTTTTCATTTTCTTCCATGTGCTCTTGAAGGCCTTCCAGGTCTGTTGCTAACTGAAAAAATATTTTAATCGGTTTTTGATATATGAAATATATCATGTATGCTTTGCACTGTGCAAAAGATTCTTAAAAAATGGTGCACAGTGCAGAAAAGAATTTTTGCACTGTGCAGATACAAAAATTTCAAAAAAATGTCTGACCGCATTGTACAGTCAAAATTTTAGTTGAAAAATTTCAGCGCACTGTGCAAAAAAAATCCTGCGCGGTGCAGTCAAAAATTTCGCAAATTCCAAAAAATCGCGCACTGTGCAGAAAAAAAAATTTTTTGCACTGTGCATCTACAAAATTTCTAAAAATGTCATACTGCACGGTGCAGTCAAAAAGATTTTCACCGTGCAGTCAAAAACTTTGCACAGTGCGTGAAATAAAAATAAATTTTTTTTTTTTTTTAACAAAACACTTTTCACTGTTCAAAAAGTAATTTTTCCAAAGATGTTTTACCCATAGTGCAGTAAAAAATGTTCAGTTAAAAAATTTCATTGCACTGTGCAAAAAAAAAATTCTTGCACGGTGCAGTCAAAAAATTTGCACCGTGCAGTCAAAAACTTTGCACAGTGCGTGAAATAAAAATAAAATTTTTTTTTTTTTTTAACAAAACACTTTTCACTGTTCAAAAAGTAATTTTTCCAAAGATGTTTTACCCATAGTGCAGTAAAAAATGTTCAGTTAAAAAATTTCATTGCACTGTGCAAAAAAAAATTCTTGCACGGTGCAGTCAAAAAATTTGCACCGTGCGAAAAATCAAATTCAAAAAAAAAAAAAAAAATCGAAACTCACTTTATTGGTATCAAACAAATCCGGCTGTCCGGACTTGTTGGCTCCAATGCCAAAGAATCCCTTGATTCCACCTTGTTTTTGTTTGTTCTTTTCGCCATGCCGTTTCTTCCCGAACAATTTTCGGATGAGCAGGAATGCCAACAGGAGGACAATGAGCAATGCGATGATTCCGAAGAAAACGAATCCCCATTCTGGCACTGAAAAAAGATTCTTTGTTTTTTTTGTTTTGAGGTCATTTATGGAGAGCTAAAATAAAGTTTTGAGTGCCAAAACGAATGATGCTCGTATTTTACCATTTGAATTATTGTTTAATTTTTTTTATTTTTTTAAAATTTTTTGAATTCTACGTTTTAAAAAAAATTATTTTAAAAAAATAGAATGCATTTTATGCGACAATGCAACAAAAAAATCATTTTTTTTGGCAAAAAAATTTTTTTTGGGCAAATTTTTTTTGGGCAAAAAATTTTTTGGGCAAAAAAAAATTTTTTTTTTCAAAAAATTTCAAAATATTTTAGTCATTCTTTTACAATTTTTAATTTATTTTTACTATTTTACACACAAATATTCAGAACTAATCCAAAATTACCTTTTTTTCACTACAATAAATTTTTTTTAAATTTTTGCCCTCAGGCATTTTCCAAAATTTTCTCAAATTTTGCCTCAAACTCGGCAGAAGCTTCTCCAATTCTCTAGATTCGAAAAAATAATAAAAACAAGACTTACTTCCAGTCTTTTCCATGACCTTCTCCTTGACCCGGTCCTTGAGATCGAAGGCTTTGTCCTGCAGGTACTTCCCGACCGATTCCTTGGTGGTCGTGCTGAAATACGTGTTAATTAGTAAAAAGAACAGGCAGGATATTTTTATAAAAAACTAAATTGGCTGTTTATGTTGGGGAAATATTTTTGGACATGTCAGTCTCAGATTAACAAAAAAAAACTTGGCCAAATTTGACGAGAATTCCAAATGCTCGTGAACAAGAGAACACAAAAAAAGAATATAAAATAGAAGGCTACGCTTCATAGTTCTCGATAAAATCTTTTTTATCAGTCCGTCGGTAAAATAATGAGCACTCTGTCGTATTGAAAATCACATCGCCGCCGAGAAAATGAATTGTGTCGCGGCAAAATCGAAACACTTTTTTCAGCAACGCGATCGGCGCAGCGGCATTGTGCTCATTATTTTTCCGACAGACAGTTCAAAAATAAGCTTTCAAATCCTGTCGAAAACCCAAAAGTTTTGTGGGGTTTCGATACGGGTGATGTTGAAAAATAGGAGGAAAGTGCCAACACTTGCAAATTATGCACGTTTTCTTAGAGACTATATAAGAAACCCCAAAAAAATCCTACATTTCCTGGCGATTTTCAACCGAACCACTTTCCTTCACGTTTTTTGTAAGGCCCTGTAAACGGAACAACATTGTCTTGGGCCTATGATTTCAACGAAACTAGGCACAAATCTAATTTTAGCTAAATGCTTTTCTCTGACGTATACAGGATCCCTAGCTCCCCGGAAATAAGAGAGATTTTTTCGGTTTTTGGCCCTACAGTTTGTCAACATTTTACATCCTTTTCTAGAGTATACATAAAAAAAACCATCTTTGGCTTTGCCAATGCACGCAACGTTCTGCTCTACAAGAAATCACGTTTTAACTCGAAAAAGTTGTTGGGAAATGACGAAATTTTTTTGCCATAAGGGAAGTCACGTAAGTCACAGACTGATTTTTAAAAACTACTGTTACAGCGATGGAGAGTGTGGAATTGGGATATCAAATCTGAAAACCGCTACCTCCATCGGCCTTCGGGAGTTGAACCAACATCGCTCTCCCAATTTCGCTCACTCTCTCGTTGGGATATTCCCATAAAAGGACAACTTTTTGCTGCAGCAAACTGGAAAAAGATGTGGCCAAAAAACATTTCTTTGTGACCGCTTTCTATACTTCGCTCACTCTCTCGCAATCAAAAATCGTTTTTTGTCTCGGCTGCATAGCGCAAGCCAAAATTTTTCAGAAATTGATACTAGTCCGTTCACAATGTCTATGGATTGATTTTTGCGAAATGAAATGTAAAAAAAACAAAAGTGCACCTTGCACTATGCAATTTCTTGCTTTTGCACCGTGGAAAGAGCTTTTTCGGGCTGTCGCTCTCGTTCTGACTTCTTAAGACAGTGAAAACTTCAGCGACTTACGAACGGGCTAGTATGAAACATAGTGCTTTATATTCAAAATTTCAAAGCAATCTAAATATCGCACTTGAAGCGCTTCCCTGGTTAAAATTATCCTTCCCAGCAGCCCCCAAAAATACTCGAAATGGAAAACAAAATTCGACGCCAAATCCCAAAATCCCGAGAAAAAATTTCTTGTCATACGACGTTTTTGACATTTTTATATTCACTTTCGGACCTCCTCAAAAGCCCTGAGGGAAAAAGGAAGAGCGAAAGACTTGTTGGGGGAACGATTTGAATTTTGGTCGAATTAATAATGAGAAACGTCTTTTCGATTCATTCCTGGCCATTTTGATTATTCTCGCGAAAACATTCGAAATGGAGCGAGGAAATGGCTGCAGGGTCAGGTGAGTAATTTGTGGAATTTACAGGAAAGAGGGCTCAAAGCAGAATGATTGGATTTTGTTAAAATTTAGGCTAGATGTTGTAGTTATAAGGTATATTAATTTCTAAAAATTTAAATTCAAAATATGATTGCAGACATTGATATTCAACAATTCAGAATGGTGAGAGAATGCGGGAAATGAGGAGACATGCCAATTCAACGTATTTTACTGACCCATGACGAAAATATTTCACAGGGGAAGTACTCCAAGTGCGACGCTCAGATTTTCTTTAAATTTTGCACACACGTCGGGTATGGACTAAGTATCAATTCCTGAAAGTTTTAGCTCGCGCTTTGCGGGCGCCGCCGAGATATCGAACGGTTTTTGCAGCCGAGAGAGCACGCGGGCAAAACGTGGAGAGCGGTCAGAGAGAAAAGCGCTTTTTGGCCATAACTTCGGCAGTTTCGTGCGGAAAAATTTGATTTTTTGTAGAAACATTATCCTTTACGGTAGAAATAGGCATGAAACTTTTCGTGCCGAAATTCGGCAAAAAGTCCTAAATTTTCGCCGACTTTCGATCCAAAAATCTCGGTCGTTTCTGTAAAGCGCGAGCTAGGATTCTCGCATATATCTTAGAAAAAATTATTCTAAATTTGTGCCAAGTTTCATCAAAATCTGAGCGTCGCACTTGCAGTACTTCCCCTGTCAGATATCAAAGTCCTTTTGGAAGAGTTTTTAGTGGATGAACTTGGCCATAAAAAATTAAAGAAAAAGTTAAAAATAATTGTTTCTGACAGAGAACGTTGTTTAGAGAAGAAAGCAAAATGGCAAAAAAATGCTTTCCCTGTGACCGCTCGCCGCACATCGCCTGATGTCTCGGAGGCAATGATCGTTGAATGCCTCGGCTACCTCTGCAAGGCGCGAGCCAAAATTTACGGGAATTGATATCAGTTGGTCAGGAAAATAATGAGCACAAGCCGGCGCGTGTGTCAAAACACCCTATGTAAATTCCACGGACTTTACATAGGGTATTTTTGCGTGATTAGTATCAGTATGTCGGAAAAATAATGAGCACAACGTCCCAGCGCCAATCGCGCCGCCGAAGTGAGCCGCGACACAATTCATTTTCTCCTTTTTCCATGCGGCAGAGTGCTCATTATTTTCCCGACAGAGAGATATATGACCTATGCCCAATCTATGTGCAAAATGAAAAAAAACTGAGCATCGTATATGAAGTAGTTCCCATGTAAGTTGATTTTATTACAAGTCTTGCACAGACATTTCAAAGCTCTAGTATGATTTTACAGCAAGGTTGATTGAACATTGAGCGTCGGAGTTTGACCAATTCTACTATAAAAAATACTAATAACCCATAAATTTCCCAACCACTACTATCTTCCACTAACCCCAAAATTTCAGCTTTTTCAGTTTAATAATTTCGCTTGCTCAAAAATACCTTGCGTGACAGCAGATTCAAATTAAAATCTCCCACTTTAGTTCCAGCTATCCCTAAAGGACAATATCTCCCCAAATTTCTTCCCAAGATCCTCCAGAAAATAGGCTGGTTTTTACCCTTGCGATTACTATGGTAACTGCTGACGGATATAATGAGGCCGTTAGAACACGTTCGTTTGCGTAAACATAAATTTCCGACGGGTTTTTTTGCTGCGGAAAATGAGATTTTTGAAGGATTTTGGGGAAAAAAAATTTGGAGTTTGAAGAAATAGTTGATGTAGTTTACTGCGGTAACGATGATTTTGAGGTTGTGGAAAGTGAATTTTTCGTTCAAAAATCATCATTTTTGGTCAAACTCGAAAAAATAAGAGCAGAAAACCTGTTCTGTCAATGTGATTTTCAAGAAATACAAGACATAAGTGAGGCCACGGCCGCCGCAAAAGCATTCAACCGGTCGCTGCGTCCCGCCACGAAACCCGAAAGGACATCGCAATCAACCGAGACGTGGATTTGGAAGGAAAGGAGAATAGTTTGGAAGTCGCAGCCTGAGCGAGCGGTTGGCCGTCAGCGCGTGTGGACAATTGGAGTACATTGAGTGTATTGGCCTGCTTGTGTATTGTGTTTGGAGGAATAAAGAGGTCATTGGTATTTGTTGGAGGATTGGGAGAGCTTGTCTAGGACAGCGTGTTACGAGACCCGGTGTCTGATCGTATAGGCGAAGAACCGAGGTTCTCTTTCATAAAATAGTCAAAAATCTCGAAAATTGACTTTTTGCAAGGAATTTTTTTTATGACAAGCGGTTTTTGGAGCGATAGGAAAAAATTTTGTGGTAGGAAATGTCACATTGACGCCTGTTTCTACCCAGAAATTTCATAGTCCACACTATTTTCCCGACAGATTGATAGAAGCAATAAAAGTGGATTTTAGAAAAAAATTGAGAAGGGGAATGTCACAGGGACGCCTGTTTCTACCCAGCAATTTTAGAGGGCTGAATTTGTCGAAGGTATAATACGATTGAAAAATAACTCAAGTCGAGTTTTGAGCTGTGCTCAAAATTTACACCATATAAACTGGATAACTACCATTTCTACGATAGTCATCCAGCTACCTGTACATTAGAATGGACAATTAAAAATTTCACTTTTTACCTTACAGTAGGTATGTATAATATAAAATTAAATGCTTTTTTTTTGTTTCCCCTCAGTCTGTCGGGAAAATAATGAGTACAATATCGCTCAGCCAATCACGTCGCTGAAGTGAAAAGCAATTGAATTTTGCCGCGACACAATTAATTTTCTCGGCGGCAATGCGATTTTCGATGCGACATTGTGCTCATTATTTTCCCGACAGACTGATAAATGTCCGTTCAAGAGTCCCGTGATCTAATTTGGAAAAAGTTCCTTATTTAGGCCACAACAAAGGTACTCCGCGAACTGCGCCCAAGCTTGGGCACTAAAGTTAGGAAAAAACGCTTCGACCTAGCTGGCACTGAATTACTATAATAGCTGTATAGTTTTATGGGTACCTACGAAGGCTGTGTCGACTCATTTAGTTCCATACGGAGGCAATAAATTTAGTTCCGGACATGTTTCATCGTATAAAGTGTAAATGACAGGCTGCAGCCGTTTTTAAAGGGTAAGGTGGCACGTAAAAAAGAAGGTACCTCACTAACTAAATCCACTGCTCGGGCATTGAAAACGATGAATTGAGCGTGCACGTTAAATTTGGGCTAATTCCGACCAGTTTCCGCAAAGTTATAAAGTTGTGGCCAAAATAAGGAACTTTTGCCCCTAATTTTTTTATTTTTTGTGATTTTTTTCAATACTTCCCAGACCCCTACAGCCACTACAAACTCCAGAACTCTCCCCTTCACCCACCTTCCGTAAGTCGTCGCTTCTTCGGTGGTGGTGGTGGTCGGCGGGAACGTGGTCTCCGGCGCTTGCATGGGCATCTCCTTGGGAATCTCCTCCTTGTTCAGGTCCACCGGCTGCTCATCGTACTCCTCCTCTTCGAGGTCGTGCAGGATTCGCGGCATTGCGCGCAATTGCTTCTAACCGCTCGTTTGGTGGGCCCGAGGCACACTTTACGCCAGAAAATCTTCGGCCTGCAAATGCTTGAAATAATTTTTTTTGTCTAATTACTCAAAAAAACGAAATATCGCGAGACGAGGAATAAAAAAAAATTTTGTGGTGAAAAAAAAAAATTTTTTGGCGAAGGAACGGCCCTCCGGCTAATTTGGTTTTGGGAAATGGATGAACTCAAAGGAAATGGTAAACATAAGACGTCTATAATTAATAAATACAAGAACAAAGAACAAAAAAATGCCGTGAATGGCCCGAAAAATTGCATAAAAGATACAGTAAGAAAGAAAAAAAAAATTTTTTTTGACGATTTTTTTGCATAGCGCAAAAATTTGAAGGTTTTTTATTCCATTTTTGGCGTTGCACTGTGCGTCAACTAAATATTTTTATTGCACTGTGCGGGGAAAAGTAAAACTACAAACGCACAGTGCAGTGAAACTCAGCGTGAGGATTGCACTGTGCAGAAATACAAACAAGAATAAAAAATTGCCTGCACAGTGCAAAACAAAGATTTGTCGCGGAAAGCGCACAGTGCGGGCGAAATTGAACTAAAACCGCACAGTGCAATGAAATTCAGCGAGACAATTGCACTGTGCAGCCAAACAAAAAATGATGAATTGATTTTCGATTGCACTGTGCAAAAAAATAAACTGTAAAAAACGCACAGTGCAAAGTGAAGTTTTGTCGCAGAAAGCGCACAGTGCGGGGAAAAATGAAACTGCACTGTGCAATGAAATTCAGGGAGAGAGGATTGCACTGTGCAGTCAAACAAAAAAAATTGTCGGCACGGTGCGGGCAAAATTAAATCCGCACAGTGCAGTCAATTAGATTGCACTGTGCAGTGAAACAAAAAATAATAAATTGGTTTTCGATTGCACTGTGCAGAAGAGGAAACTAAATCGCACAGTGCAAAGCGAAGTTTTGTCGCAGAAAACGCACAGTGCGAGTAAAACGAAAATTGCACAGTGCAATGAAATTCAAACAGAGGATTGCACTGTGCAGGCAAACAAACAATAATATAAATTGTCTGCACGGTGCGAGTAAGAATGAAAGCGCACAGTGCAAAAAACTGAAGAAATTCAGTTTTTTATTATTGCACTGTGCAGCAGAAAAAAAAATAAAAAAATGGTCTGCACGGTGCGAGTAAAAGTAAAACCGCACTGTGCAGTCGAAAAAAAATGAAAAAATTGTCAGCAAAAAAAAGTAATTTGAAAAATACGGCAAACGGAGAATTCTGCAATGTTAAATTTTTAAAAAAATAAAAAAAAAAAAATCAATTATTTTGTTGTAAAATACGATGATATATGTAGGTATCAAAGAAACTCAGATTATGATAAAACTTGGTACAAATTTAGACAATTTTTTTCTATGGGTATATGCGAGACTCTGAGCTAGCGATTTGCAGAAACGACGGAGATTTTTAGGTCGAAGATTGGCTAAAATGAGATATTTTTAGCAAATTTTTGGTATGAAAATTTTCATATTTTTTTTGGCTTTTGAGATTTTAGAGACGAGACATTGCTGCTACAATTATATAAAAACATATTTTTTATTGTAAAATACGAGGTGAGCACATTCTTCACAACTATTTAAAAATCTCCCAAACCCCAGCAGCAAATTCTGTATAACTCTCAAAAACAGACTCAAAAGGCCAAAAATCCCTCTCAAGGAGGCCCTAAAACGGCCCAACTAAACTTCCGAATGGGTCAAGGAGACGGAAAATTTGTAAGAAAAGGAAAACTCGTCCTTCTTTCGGCCGTTTTTTTTCTTATTTTTGCGGCCGCAAAACTCAAAAACGGAAAAGTTTTTCGGCCCTCTTAAAGACTCGATATGTCCATTCGCATGGCCAATGGACACATCTTCAATTAATGAATATTGAGGGGGAAATTGTAATGAAACTTTTTATTTTTTTTGGGCGGCTCTGTTTTTGGGAATAGAGGGGATTACTGGAAGGGTTTTTAGAATGTTGTTACTGGGAATGGGATAAAGAAAAATGTTTGTTTGGAGGAGAAAATGAAGTTTAAATAGAGCTAATATCAGTCTGTCGGGAAAATAATGAGCGAATTTTTGATGCGCCATTCGCATCGCTGAACTGAAAAGCAATTTGATTTTGCCGCGAAACAATTCAGTTTCTCGGCGGCGATGAGATTTTTGATGCAGTAGAGTGCCCAATATTTTCCCGACAGAGTGATAAAAAATGCACGTATTACAATACCTGTCTACAACGAACAATTTCAGAGATTCCAAGGGACAATTTTGAGCCAAAATTAACTTCCTTACATTTTCCCGACAGACTGATATTACTTTAAAAAGTATTAGTCCCATTGTGATGCCGCTGGAGTGATTTTTGCGACATGCACTGTGCAAAAGCGTCAGGGTGCGAGCGACAACCTAAAAAAACCTATTGCACGGTGCAAAAAGCAAGAAATTGCACAGTGCAAAGTTAACTTTCATTTTCTCACAGTGAATGTCGAAATTAGCGAATTTGCGAACGGACTACCATTGACCCTGGAATTGTTGGATTGAAAAGGGTCCCCGAGATTCGACAGTAAAATTTTTGAAATTTGAGATAGAATGCACCTTCTTGAAGCTAAAAGAGCGACCATTTTTCGTTAATTTCTTTGCCAGTTCTGCGCGGAAAAAATGATTTTTTGTGGAAACATTATCCTCTACGGCAGAAATAAAGAAAAATGTGTTTCCAACCAAAATTTGCAAAAAATGTGTCACCTTTTTGTCAATCCTCAGCCTCAAAATCACAGTGGTTTCTGCAGAGCGCGAGCCGAGGATTTTGTATATGCCTTAGAGAGAAGTAGTCTAAATTTTTGACAAATTTCATCAATATCAGAGCGCCACAACTGATTCATTCATCCAGCCCAAAGTGAAGCTCCTTATCATTCATTCCATATTTTAATTTTCATTATCTGTCTACTGTTACTGTGGCCTACGAAGTCTGAGCGTATAGTAGCAATAAAACAGCTCAGTCTCAAGGCGTCTTATCCTCCTAATCCGCTCTAGTAATCGAAACAAATCCTCTTTTTCGAAGCGGTTTCCACACGTGTCCCCGAAATAAGAGCCAACATTTAGTCATAAGCAGCGAAAAAACAAAAAAAAAAATAAATAGGATTACCGGGCCATAACAACCCAAACAGAAAAACGGCACCGGCTCTTTTTCCGATAATCAATCTCCAAAAAAGGCAAGCCAAGTGTAAAAATAAAGATATTTCCAAAGAAATTTGGACCCTAGTGCCGGGGGGAAGACAGGCAAATAAATATTTTGAAGGGATGCTAGCGGAGGATGTTTTTTAAGCCAATTTAAATTTTTGATTTGTTGGAAAAACAAAATTTAGGGAAGTTGTTGGGGGAAAATAAATAAACGAAAGTTTAAAATACGGCAATGGATAAGAAGACTATAAAACATTAAAAACAGAGTAAAAGAAATAAAAAGAAAAAATCAAACAAAAATCGGCTTAAGAAGAGAACTCGAACTTTCAGTGATATCGAATAAAAAAACAAAAAAAAGACATAAAACAAGATGTTACAGTAGAGACGTGAAATTTCTACAATAGTTAAGAGAGTTGTTGTTACCTGCCCATTAGAATAGGGGGATGTTTCACGTACAAAAGGGGCACTAACTTGAGTTAGCGGCATCACGGAAAAAGCGGAGAGAACAGAGAAAAAGAGGAGTGGTAACTCGAGTGACCTGACTTTTTACGCACTTTGGCCGAACATTTTGGGCCATAACTTTTGGCACAGTAGACCAATTTACGCCCTTCAAAAAACATGTTGATGTAGAGAACATAACGGATATGTCCATATAAAGATTTTATTAAAATACGACTTTTAAGATACCAAGAAAAATAATTTGCATATAATTTGCATAATTTAGAAGGAAAATTTACGAATTTATATCCATGCATTCTACGTACCACCAGCATTAACATTTTTTTGGAAGGGCGTAAATTGGTACACTGTATCAAAAGTTATGGCCTAAAATGTCCGGCCAGGTCCATAAAAAGTCGCCCGATTCGCCGATCAGAAGGAAAAGAGGTCACTCAAGTTAGTCCTCTTTTTCTCTGCACTCTCCGCTTTTTGCGTGATGCCGCTAACTCAAGTTAGTGCCCCTTTTGTACGTGAAACATCCCCCAGGTCAAGACTTTTTTGTCGCTACGCCAAAGTGAAAAACTTTTTGATTTTGCAGCAACACAATTCATTTTCTCGGCGGAAATGTGATTTTCAATGCTACAGAGCGCTCGTTATTCTCCCGGCAGAGTGATAAAATACGAAAGAATCCAAAATATAATAAAAAATTTGGCAAAATTGTAATGGGTGTGAAAAAAAACTTTGATATAAAAACCCAAAAATAATGGTAAAATACGCCATCAATTCCTGTTCCTTAAACATCAAAAAAAAATTTTATATTATTTTTTATATCTAAAAACCGCAAAACAGAGAAATAATAATCTCAAAAAGCGGTCTTTTTGAAACTGGAGGACCCAAAGAAGGCAATGAAAGACTGAAGAATGGCCGACGTCTTGACTGGCATCAATTTCTCCGTCTCCAAACAATTTTTTTTCTTCTTGTGACAAATTGACATGGATTTTTTTGGGGAGACATTTTTTTTGGTTTGTAAAATACGGATTAATAATTTTTGTTTTTTAAAAAAATTAAAAACACAAATTAAAGACATAAAAAATTGAAAAAAAATCTTTTTGTATGTAAAATACGCCTCCAATAAGGGAAACTAAAAGAAATTTTATTTTAAAAATTCAAAAAAAAAATAAAAAATCAAAAAAAAAATAAATAAAAAATCAAAGAAATAAAAAAGAATCTTTTTTGTTTATATTTTTTAAAATTAAAAAAAAATTTTTTTAATTAAAATTTTTTATTTATTTATCCAAAAGAAAATTAAAAAACAAAAAAATAGGCCCTAACTGTTGTCTAGAACAACAATATA